GAACTCTGGCATTAAGGAAGACTCAGACGTGGAAGATTACAGGTTGAAATCTCAGGTATGTTATTTAATCTCAAATTGCAACACAATATTTATCACTATATATATATTTTTTTTTTTTTAATTTAGATATCACTTGGTTATTATCAAAGAAATTCTTTTAGCCTGGGTAGCTTTCTAAATGTTGAATAATATTTATTTTGGGCATGCCAACAAATTAATATTTTGGTAAGGAGAATTTTTTTGAATAAAATTGTTGTCAGTGAGAGATATCATAAGATTATTTGTCTACTGAATTTTTAGTTTTGTAAATTAAATTCTCAGGTAAAACTCAGGGACAGAAATACAGTAGAATTACAGAAACTCAGGGACAAGGTGGATGATATGGATGAAAAAATAGACGACCTACAGAGACCTGTGATAGTAAGCATGAAATTTTATTAGAATATTATTATTTGGGTGATAAAAAAGATTGGTTTTATTCCATACATTTGTCAATATGTCAAATATATGAAGACAAATAGGGATAACAAAGTACAATATCTTAGGATATAAGATTTTTGAATGGTTGATTTGTATTTTCTTGTGACGGTTTATGAACAAAAATGTTTTATTGCACAATTTCTGTGCCAAGTTGACTCTAAAAACATGAACGAAAATGCTGTGAATAATGATTTTTCTGTCAGATGATCCTGTGGTCATTAAATGAGTCAATGTAAATTTTCAGGTGAAAAAATCCAAAAGGTGCTATGACAAAAGTGCAATAGAAATTGAAGATCTTTCGGAGAAAATTGATGAGACCAATGAAAAAGTGGATTACATCAGAAAACAGGTGAGTATGAGTATTCAGTTCTGATAACCATGGATGATACTAATTTTTCACAACTTTTACAGTAAGCCAATTGAAAATAAACAAAAATATTCATGTTCATTTTTATGACCCATTCTCTAAGATACTTACAAAGTAATTTAGATTTTCAGATAATTTTCTTTTGTTTTTTTAGATGAAAAAGAATAAGGACAAAACTGCGAAAGATTTAGAACAACTCAGGGAAAAATTGGAGGAATATGATGAGAAGATGGAGGAGATTAAAAAACAGGTAGGTGTATTGATAAACCCTTCTCTTTGTTTTCTTTTCACATTTGCTTCTTAGATACAAAAGTTTTATTTTAAGAGAAAAAGAAGAGAAAAACTACTGACAAAATATTTGAAAGGTCAACATTTTTAGTCTAGATTTTTGAAAGAAAAATACAAATGAAATTGCTTTGAAACAGTAAAAGATTAATGATTTAATTATAAGATTTTATGGGGTTTTATTCATAATGACTCCGCAATGGAGTTGATGTTTTTGCTTCAAGTTTGTTTTGTTAGTTGACAGTCGAGCTGAATAGATAATGGAGGGAATTAAGTAAGATTTTCAATATACACTTGAAAGGAGTGAGTTAAAATCAGTAAAGTTTTTTGTGGTGATTAATTTTTCACAATGATAAATTATAATGATGAAGTGATAATCAGTACTATATTGAGCTGCCTTGATTTGTAATATGGCACTATTTTTTTAGCTGAAAATCTCCAAGAAACGCAAGGACAAAAGTGCAATAGAATTTGAAAAAATACAGGACAAAATGGATGATGTTATGAAACAGGTAATAATTGTAATCATGGTATTTGTAACATGTCCATCCAACAAATCTTGGGAATTATGAATATTCAAATGAGCTAGACATTTAATATAAATAAATGTTTTTTTTTTTTTTTTTTTTTTTTTTTTTTTTTTTTTTTTTTATTATAGGATTGTTGATTTTTTTAAAGCAGCGATGACTTTACAAAGAAAAAAAAAAAAGAATTGTTCAATTATTTAAAAAAGCCTGACATTAATTTTATCATATGTTGATAATTTTCAGCTGAACATCATTCAAAGAAACAGGGATAGAAGTGCAAGAGACTTTGATAGACTTGAATACAAGATGGAAGAGAAGTCAGACGAGATCAAAAGACAGGTAAATAGCCTGAGACAGAGAAAATCCTAGCTTTATTTTATAGCTCTTCAGAGGAATCCAAGTTTTGAAACAATTAAAAAAGAATTTTGTCAGATTAATATATTAATTTTTGGTTCTTGGTACTTTGTAATTCAAGCCATCGTTTGGTATTTTTTGGTGTTGTTTATTTTCTATAGAACACATTGTCAAGTAAAAGACTAAATGATGTTTCTTACTGCTGTTCTTTTTGTTACAAAGATTCAATAAATTTACAAATCTTTTTATCAATTACCACTGTCAGCTATTGAACCAATTTTTCCCTTTCTTCCTTAGGAAGAGACACTAAGGGATTGTTACTTTCTATAACATATATTTTCATCTGCACAATTCATAGATCTAGCTCTTAGATGAAATCAACTTGTGAATTTATATTTTACAGATAAGAAGAATGAAACCAGCAGCCGAAGGGTAAGAAAAACACCTCTTATATATATATATGTTTCACACTTGGATTTGTGATTGAAAACATTCAGACAAATCACGAAAAACTATTAAAGAACAGAAGTAAGAGATTAAGCAGAAATGAAATTATTTCCATGTAACTTTTAGTCAAAATGTTTCGTACGTATGTATACATCCTTTTTTTTTAAAGTGACAAATGATAAAAAATGTATTTTAATACAAATTTCAAAACAAAAATTATCAAAATTACAGGTCCAGCCCCTTTGGCACGTGGATGGGCTATATGATTGAAGATAGTAGATTCCAGTAGATGAAGTCCAGTCAAGTAGACTCTGTCTGGAGTTATCGGTGTTGGGTTGCTAATTGAGCCCTCAAGGAGACCGTGGATACGGACGATGTCGGTGGGTCGAAGTGTGGAGGAAAGAATTGGATCCGCGTATCGCCATGTTGTGTTCTTTAACTTCCTCAAGCGGCCTGGGCTCTATTCTTGATGGCGGCAGTGTCGTCTATCTGACCATGGAAGTCTTAAGGATATACAATCTGACAACGTTGAGCGATGGAACCAGACTGTTCGGCTGCGGCCGGCGCTGGGGCTTCAGAGAGAAGGGTTAACTACTAGTTGGTATAATCGTCATTATGTCACATGAAGCTAATACCCTCTCTGCTAGCCTTGTTGTTGCGGTTACTGGATGCTTCCGTGGTACAAGGTGAAGATTTGGACCAAAGGATTAGATTCATTCGATGTTTGAAGTTGAAGTGGTTTCTGCGAGGTTTTCATGAGGTGACTCGATGCCCTTGCTTTGGATATGGGTCTCAAGTATTGGCTAATCTCTGGAGTCTGTGTGCAATTGTATAGAGGAGAGACACGTGCCATCAAAGCTGTTTCTTTCTGTCTTGGGTCTCTTGTGCAACTACCTCAAACTATTACTACCTCAAACAACAACTACCTCAAACTATAACTACCTCAAACTTAAACTACCTCAAACTATAACTACCTCAAAATTAAACTACCTCAAACACCTGTGCAATACTCTATGAAATACAGGATTATATTTGGTGCTATATTTGAAGAAATACAGGACTATATAATTGGTGCAATATTCTATGAAATACAGGATTTTATTTGGTGCTATACTCTATGAAATACAGGATTATATTTGGTGCTATATTCTTTGAAATACAGGATTATAAATGGTGCTATACTCTATGAAATACAGGATTATATTTGGTGCTATATTCTTTGAAATACAGGATTAATAATGGTGCTAAATTTTATGAAATACAGGATTAAATAATTGGTGCTATATTCTATGAAATACAGGATTATATTATTGGTGCTATATTCTTTGAAATACAGGATTATATTATTGGTGCTATATTCTATGAAATACAGGATGATAAATGGTGCAATATTCTATGAAATACAGGATTATAAATGGTGCTATATTCTATGAAATACAGGATTAAATAATTGGTGCTATATTCAGTGAAATACAGGATTATATTTGGTGCTATATTCTACAAAACACGGTATTATATTCAATGCAATACTGTATGAAATACAGGATTATATTTGGTGCTATATTCTTTGAAATACAGGATTATATTTGGTGCTATATTCTATGAAATACAGGATTATATTATTGGTGCTATATTCTATTAAATACAGGATTATAAATGGTGCTTTATTCTATGAAATACAGGGTTAAATTTGGTGCAATATTCTATGAAATACAGGATTATATTTGGTGCTATATTCAGTGAAATACAGGATTATATTTGGTGCTATATTCTATGAAACACGGTATTATATTCAATGCAATACTGTATGAAATACAGGATTATATTTGGTGCTATTTTCTTTGAAATACAGGATTATAAATGGTGCTATATTCTATGAAATACAGGATTATATTTGGTGCTATGTTCTATGAAACAGTATTATATTCAATGCAATACTCGACAACTTACCTTGTAAATACCTGGAATTTTGTATAAAGCTGCCACTGCTCATGAAGAATAAATAACGAATGTGTACCTTGAAGTACTTTATCTGTGCGTTTGTCTGAATGGGTCATTTCAATGGATAAAATATCAATAAACAAACTTCTTCAGAGGTTTTTTGATGTAGGGGCCCTTTACATAGGTATAGTTATATAAAGTGTAAAGATACAAATCAATTTCTGTGGATACCTGAGAATCTTCATCCCCCTCAACCCCATTTCAAAACTTGACAGAAAATGAGTCTAAACAAGGCTCGTCTTTTTTCATTTTCTTTGAAGTGGTCATAATTAAAAATAATTAAAAAATATTTTAAAAATAATTACTTAAGAGATTTCTGTTAAAAATTCAAATGCAACCATACCTGGTTTAGTACCTGTAAGGCCTATAGCGCATACATTTCCAAGAAATACATCTACATTTCAAGGAATCAAGGGTAAGATGGAAGGGTTCATCACTTGGCCTGGATGCCAAATGAAGCATAACAAACTAACAAAACCAAATGAGTACACAGATCAAGATCCCAACATTTAAACCATTAAAAAAAACCAACCAAAACGTAGATCCAAAAGGTTTATTAGTCATAAAATTTTGCATGTAAAAAGTACAGAGTTCTCACAAGGTCAGCTTTGAGAAAAGAATCTTACCAAGATTCACACCTAAACTCGTAAGGTTCCTTAACAGCATCTCACTTACTTTCCTCACAAATTTTTTACAAAATGAGGAAATGATTCTAATCTCAACTGCGGCCTGCAAGTGGGAGATAAATTGAAAAGGAAATATGAAGCATTGAATCTAAAGACAAAGCATCTAATTACGGATGTAGTTTCTCCACTCAGCAGCTCATATCAGAGTTCTGGTTCTCCAATACTTTGGAAGAGGCCATGTCAACAGCTTTCTCCACTTTCTCAGGTGACTGAACAAACATTGAAAACTGAAGAACTATGGCTCTTATATAAACTGGCGATTGAAGAAACTATCAGAGTAACCGAGTAATTTACTCGGAAGATTAAATTATTCACTAAAAGACAAAACATACATTTACATCAAATTACACTGATAATTTTCTGCACTACAGCTTAAAGCAAATACTGTACTTTTTGCACAACACTTTTCCAAACATATTCGGTGTGACAGGGGTGGATCCGTTAATGAAGACAGTTTTTTGTGTAATACTAATTTCTGATCTCCATAAATGCAATTGTTACCATTGAAAAGAATTCTGGCGGGATTGTTTATAGTCTAATTTGTGACCTGATTTTGTACATATAATTTTATCAAATTACACATCACTCAGTCGGAATGAGCACAACATAACCATCATGAGAAATTAGTACAAATCAAAAATAATATCATTTTAAAGTAGTTATTTAAATTGCTGTCTGACCTGATAAACCCATAACATCAGTGGTTATCTTTTTTACTTTTAGGGCTTTAAAGCAAACAGAATGTACCTTCTATGCCTGTGCCTGAACACATAAAACGGAAAACGTGTCATTAAAGAAACTAAATAAAAGGTATAAAATCACAATCCATTGATATCTTGCACACCTACATGACACTAATATAGCAAATGTAATGATATACAACTGACAGAGCCGTATATGAATCTTAACTGCTTTACATGGCTTTACATGATTAATCTTTTTTTCCTTACTGTAAACCATGCCGCAACTTCTTTCAGACAAGTGTAGCATAATTTCATTCTTAGTTTCACAATGGATCAAACAGTTGATGATAATAAATAGAAATATCAGTATGCTTTCGTTTTCATTATTCGTTTATGTGCAATTACCATGGCGCACAAGACATAAAATAATGTGTAAACCTACATCTATATGAATATACTAATAAAATATATAAAACCTACAGCACAACATGTCCACGTTGCCCTGATGGGCTTAAAACAACATTCTGGTTTCATTTAAAACATTTTGCACATTTTCCTCCACAGTTCTTATTACCTTTTAAAAGTAGCATGACACTTGCTCAGGACACGACTTCAGAACAAGGTCAAGTCATGACCTGTCAGGGTTATGACTTTCAAACTGGGTCACAAGGTCATGACCGCCAAACTGGGTCAGTATGTCATTGCAGCGACAGGGCAATGTGGCCACAAATGCACGATCTATAGAAATATATACACTGGTGTTAGGACTAATGCATAGATGCCAAGTAAGCTTGTGCAACGGGCTAATGTATAATGGCTGTCATATGAAGCTTGCAGATTAACAGGTTACTACACTTACATGTTAGGATTGGTCCGATGATATCTACTGGGAGATAACATATACAGTTTACTTATAAGTGGTGTGCACAGATACCATTAAATATATATATGTACAGTTAAACAGCCAAGGTTGCTGCTACACCCTGGAGCCCATGTTAACCTGGGAAATACTGCGATGCTAGTGCTCAAATTATCCTCCTGATATAGTTTTGATAATATTAAAGCAACTCCCAGGTTCATTCAATATCTTTTCACAAATCTCTGCTTTAGTTGCCATCAGCATAACCCACTGTCTGTCGCTTCCTCTCTATGGCATAAGTTAAACCATGTCATTTTGGAATGATCTTTTTTTTTTTCCTTCAACTTCTCTATTTCTTTTCTCATTTAACAACTCCCTTAATGCCACATTTTTGATAAAAAATTAATCATAATTCTAGTCACTTTTAAATTGACCCTTCGTATAATCATATCACTACATCAGGCCCAGTGACATAGATAGAAAATAAAAACTGTCTGTAAACTGTAATGCTTTACTGACATTAATTCTTCACTTATTTCTAAAGATGTTGCTGAGAGCTTGATCGTAGGTGGCTTAAAGGCTTAGTACCAAAATGAAGTGAGGTCTGTTCGTTTCAAATTGTGCTTTCAATTCAAGTGAATGCTCTTCTTTCACTGTGGTTATCTTAAATGCAATTTGTCATGTTACAATCAACTTTTACTCCAATGAAAAAAGTACAAAAAATCCCATTAAATTGCAAGCACAATTTTCACTAATACATGAAGTTTGGTAAATAAAAACCTAATCTAAGTCCAGAAATTTAGCAATTTTGTGGCTGTTCGAAATATCTGTAAGTGGGGTTCTCATAGCCGTTCATCTGCATGGCAGCAACATGTCTCTCTTCTGGCGTCTGCTGATCAATTTCTACGAAGCCGTGATTCACTGGGGTGCGCTGTGCTCTCTTCTTTCCTACTGCAATGGCGACCAAAATGATGACCAAGACGGCGATGCAGCCCATGGCGATACCGACAGAGGAGAATGTGCTGGTGCTTTTCATTTTGCTAACAACTGGCTGATTCTGGAAAGTAATGGAAGAGAACATATTAGAATGGTATACATAGAACAGACTAGAACACTTTTGTCCTACATCCATTCTTGAGTATCTCTTTTGTGTTACATCCATTCTTGAGTATCTCTTTATCTTAACCTCAAGAATATCTCAAACTATTTATCCATTCTTGAGTATCCCTTTCTAAGCTTAATCTCAAAACACATTTTGAAAACTACATCCACAGATAACATATCTACAAAATACAATTTCAGTATAGGGTCCCTCTCCTCCATGATTTGACCTCCAAAACATTTGCAGGACAATATTTCTTCCCTGTTCAAACTTACCACTTCAGCAGCGACCCCCTTGTTAGCCTGCATCAGTCCTATGACCTGGGCGCTCTGCTTCCCGTATGCGTGCTCATTCTCCATCACCTCGTCGTCAAACTTCACCACGTGCTCCTCAATGTGCACTGGCTTCGTTTTCTTGGCTGTCTTTTTCTGGGCTGGCTCTTCCACCTCAGTCTTCACAGTCAGTTTAGGCTGGTCTGTCTGCACAGGATGGTCTAGAAGGGAGAAAACATTGATTTCATTAGAAATATGACATCAGAGTAAGGAATGAGGCTATAATGCGTTAGATGTGCCCGCATGAGGCCAGCAGCATCAATGTATCACATAGGATCCAGTGATATGTTTTCCAGGCGTGAACAATCATTATCTTGTTCTGTTCTAATTTCTTATTCAACATCATCCTGAAATTGAAACACTTGGCCCGAATGGGTCTTTCGTTGATTGACACACAACTTAAATTCATAAATCTCATCTGACTTTATTAAAACTTCCATTTCCAAGGCAATTTATTGATCAGAGCCCCCACCCCTCTATATTCCTTTTAGATTCCTGGTTGCACCTACCTTTGGCAAACTTCTCCTTGTATTTTTCCACCAGGTCCACCTTGGCTGGGACTGGCTCCTTCATTATCTTGTCCAAAGCATTGTCCATTCTGGCATAGGTTTTCATAAAGTCAGCTGAAACCAAAATTCAAGGAAATAATCACATAAACCCTAAATTATTAATCTAGATCTAATCACTCTAGTCATAACAAGGAGTAAATTGAGGTATGAAGTTTAAGTCTTATAGCTGGCAATTTCAAGGGTATTGCTTTTCTTGGATTGAAACAGTAACAAAAGCAAAGCATAAAGTTTATGAAGACGAAAGGAGATAAACTATACAGAAAACTTCCCAATCAATCTTTAGATACACATGACAAACAGTAAAGATCAGAAACATAAAAATGATTGTGAAATGAGTTATATGATAAAGACACTACACTGGGTTGCATAAAAAAAAATGGCTGGTTGAAAATAAAAAGAATGCATATCCCATAAACTAGAAAAAATTAGTGTCTGACTGAAAAATCGTGGCTAATTATAACTGCACTGAAGAATGATACACTGCTATATGCCTGTTATCTTACCAATTCTGGCCGTAATCTTGCTGGCGAGGGCAGGCACACGATCCAGCATGGCAATGCTCTGGTTAATACGGAGGTTCGTCTGACTCAGGTGCNTATAATACATGACAACTAATAATGAAATAAGAAATTTATACAAAATGGTGAAGGTCAACATCATGATTTTTTCTACACATTTACAAAACTAAGTCACATTCACAGGACTGCATAAGATTTAAGATAAAGTTTGTGCTTTCAAAAGAGCACATGCATCATATATTTCAAAATAATAAAGTGTTATAATTAGTAGATATGAGAACTGTATAAACTTCTCAAGCCTTGGACTTACATCTGGGATGTCTCTCTGCAGGGCCTTCAGGTATTTGTCAATTGTCATGCGCTTCTTGGTGTTGAAGTTTGTCTGCACATGTTGCTCATGGACAGCCTCTAGCTCGCGTTTCTCTCCCAAGTTCTCATTTTCAAGGGCCTGGTATGTCTTTTCAAAACGCTAAAATGTGGAGAAAGAAAATGTAAGTCGGAACTTTTTCCATTTGTAAAATTTTAATACCTTATGACCAGTTCTATTCATTCATTCTCTCGTGCTATATTATGAGACTTCCAAATATAACTAATCTTATACTACAGTAACTTTAATAATTGGTCCCTGTAGAAATTGATGGGCCACTGATTGATGCTTTTATCCCAAGTCAGTTTGTCTTCCAACTATAGATCAGTGTGTAGAATTAGAACTGTATTATAATCATCACAATCATTATTATTTTTACTACTAAATCTTTCACTAACCTCTGTTATTTCCTTCTTCATCTTCTCGGCTCCCTTGGGATCCTTGGCGCTAAGTTCCACAACACGCGCCCGTGCTGCATTCCACTCTTTCATCAACACGGTGATCTTGTCTTGATGGACAGTCCTCATCTTCTTCTGCGCCAGTTTGAAATGTTCATGCTCATCAAAGTACTCGCCCAGACGTCCCTGGTGGAGGTACTTGGCTAAGTAGTCGTCCTTGGGTTTTTTGTCCTTGACCTTTTCCTTCTGAGGAGGTTTTGTTGGCTCGGCGGTGATTGGGATCTCTTTCTCTGCGGGCACTGCTGCCTTGTGTGTTACCACCTCTGTAAAGAAACAATTCAAAATACATTGCTAAGCAAGAAGATATTTAATTTTTCCCCTTTATTTTATACAGGCTGCCATTCTATTTACCTGATTTAATTTCTTTTCTTCATTTTCATCATACTTACCCTGGCACAGGTCCTTTGCTACCTACTGTTATATGACAATATGAAACCAAAAACTCATTAAACTGAACTAGTTTAAGCTTCTGCTACATAATCATGAAATGCAATTCCGTTTTCACTTTCGAACAGAATCAATGCTTCAACCTCAACAGCAATCTAAAAGAATAAATTGTTCTGTCACAATCAAACTAGTTAGTAACATAAAAACAACATGATTTTGCTTTGTTTACACTTATACAAGCCATATTACCCTCTTCCTCCTTCCAGATTCCTGTTACATTTCTTTTTATCCAGCAAAACCCCAGGCACAATCCATTCTCAACCTGTCACACCTAACACATTCAACAAAGCCAGGCATTCTCACTAACCCATCCCCCTCCCTGATTACACCTAAACATGCAATGTAACCATTCAGCACATATCAAAGTACACTAGAGGCTGCTAACTGTCTGAAAATAACATACATCAACTGTCTTTGCATGTACTTAGAGATGGAAGCTATAGATCATTTTGCACTTTAAAAAGAACCCTGTCAATGACTGTCTGCACAGACTGCTGCTTCTGTCACACCTGGGGCCAACTACGGAGAAAAATTGCTTATAAAATTTTATACATCTCACTTACTTCAGTTTATCATTTTCTCTTCCAAAGATTTATCAATTTTTGTTAATCACTCAACAAACTTTGTCAGATGAACCAAAATCGTCCCCAGTGGATGCCTATCAAGACACCTTTGGGAAATACACTAGATCAATTTCATGGGAAAACTAACCTTGGGTTCGTTTTCAAAATAGATAAAGCCATATGGTTTTGTACAGTTTTTCATAAGCACATATGTGGCTTGCTATTTAAATGATTGTGCAAAGCATATTTATATCCGTTGCCTGTAATATTTAGACAGGGTGGTACATACATATAACATAGCAGTTTGGAGAGAAAATCAAAAGTACTAATCTTCTTAAATGGCACTTATACATTTACCATACAGAGGTTAACAAATAAGTGTGTGTGTGTGTGTGTGTGTGTGTGTGTGTGTATATATATATATATATATATATATATATATATTTTTTTTTTTTTTATTTTTTTTTTTAATTACACCAGTATTGGCCCGAACTACCCTCTTTTTCAACACGTCTGAATGGCTCTTATGATACTCACCAACCTAAGAGTGTTATCTTGGCAATGGTCAGAGGCAACTCACAGGAAACAAATCCATACAAAGCAGTACATGGATTTTATAAGATCTATTTTAGAATGTTGGAAGCAGTTTCTACACAGACATAAATATTGCAATGGAAAGAACATGCTTTTTATTGTACAAGAGGTGTTAAGCTTTCATTCTTGCTAGCAAAGGTAGCATACAATTCATCACATTAGAATAATGCAAGGGAGCATTCATTTTTCCTTAATTTCTCTTTAGTAGGGAGCATACCTTTATTATCTTTAGGACAGCACACGAACTCCACTCCAGTAAACACATCGATGCCACACGGCAACAACATGGCGGAACTCTGGCGCTGCATGCCCTTCTCCTCGCACCAGCTGTTGGCCTCATAGGTCCAGTCGTTGAAGGTCAGACACTTTTCCTTCACGCGAATGTGCTGAAACACGCAGTGCTCGGGAACAAGCAGGGCGTCGCTCACGAACTTGCCGACTACAAGGAAATGATATGAACATGCTGGTTTATATGAAGGTGGCAGGCAGTTCAGTGGCATTTCCAGTCAAGATGCGACAGCTCAACTTAGTCCATGCTATCAGAACAGACAGTGGGATTGAGGTTACTAACCATCTTCTTTACCACAACAGGGGCTTCTTATGGTTAGAAATCCTAATCGCACTACCTGCCTCAACAGCACAGACTGAAGGTGGTGGTCACAGCTCGAATGGGAATGCGACCTTTATGTGTATAGGTAAATACTGTGGTATAATTAGGGCAAAACTTACAAGCAAATTTATTGCCAATTCAGAATTCACAAATACTAATTTCGTCGATTAAATGATGAATCCAGTCAGGTTTCTTTCCTCCTTTTTAACAAAAAGAATTCTGATGTCAGCAAATGTGCTTTTGTAAGTTGGTTTTATCCCTAATTATGACAGGCTGAAGTCAGGAAAGCTTGAACAATTGGAGGGGGAGAGGGGAGGGGGGTAATGTACTATTAGCAATATATGTATTACTTATGTATTCATGCTTTGGAAACAACATAAAATATGCATCGAGTTTCTGCCAATATGCAATACATATTTATGACTACATATCATATTTAAGGATTAAATATTGACAAGATGCATAAAGCAAAATGTTCTAAACGTGTCATAAATCATTATATATTAGTATTTTTAAGATATCAATTACACATTCTATTTGATAAAAATGTAATGTAATATTATTTCCTATGCAGAATGTGGAACACTCTTTCATCAATTTTCCAAATTGGACACGGGAAACTTTCATACATCAGAAACGCTGGCAAATAAGCAGACAATAAGACTCAAAAGTGCAGTTTGTTAATCATTGTTAAAACCAGTAACTATCAATTGATGGACTGCCACAGGAAAAAAAAAGACATATCCCTGTCACAGAAACAATTTCATCATCATAAAACACAGACTGATATTATACAGAAGACTTATGTAGCACCCATCAACAGCCAATATTGTTGCAGAACAGAGAACCCTGGAGACGCATTTAGACAAGGCTTTTTAGAGATCGAAAACGGATCCAAGTCCCATTAATGCAAGATCGATTAACAAGAGACAAAGGGCAGACTTGTACCTGCATCCTGGTCGAGACCATTCTAAACAGATCCAAATATTGAGTCTGAATGACCAATCAACAACAACATCACAAAAGAGCTCATCCTATTAAGAGTCACGACCTGTTTTACAAAGCCATGTTTACGAAATGGCTTCATTTTATGGAATTAAATTTTTTTTTAGGTCTTTGTTCCCAATGTACTACACCATCTAAGGGGGCCTATTGCTTAAAACAGCTTAGTGTGACAAACTCCTTACTTTCCAATACAACGAGAGAGATGCATTTCTGATCTATTTTACACCAAAGTAGTGTGGTTGGAACGCAAACCATCAGAACTTAACAGGACAAAAAAAAAAGCTTTTATATTATTAGTCTGCTCTGTAAATTATTCATTGTACTAGTCTGGGAGTGATTCATACAGTATTGTATTCCATTATATCTTGATCTGTCTCTATTTTATATGGTGAGGGTTAATACAAAGTAGGCTTCCTACTGAAACCATGGTCTATTAACCGCATCAAGTTCTGACATTTTAATGTGCAATTCTCTGCTTTTTATCGATTTAGCTAGAGTCTTAGTAAGCCGAGTATGTCATCCCCACACGGCAATACAGGATGTGTGAATTACTTTGATCTAAGCCGATTCAGCCAATTTGAAAATTCTATTTACTTTTTCTCCTTATTTTCAGCAAAATCATAGAGAAATGGTCAAAATCACAATGCAGGCTTCTTGATCTCATTTTCTTAGACTCATTTCATTTCTTATATGTAGCATTTGGCAACCACCTGATATTTTAACGGTGGGAGGAATGGGAACAGGAGGGGCAGCTGGGGGGGGGGGGGGGGGGGGAGGGGAGGGGAGGGCCCCATCTGTGTATAACTAATCCCCAGTACTCAGCTGCAGGCTATCACACAAAAGACCCTATAATATGTCCATAGAGGCAACTTAGTCATCCAACTAAAGGCTTGTCATTAGACAGCTCCCCCTTCTGGATCCCAGACTGACTGATTATATAGTGTACAGTGAACAGTCTGCTAAGAACTGCCCGTTATAACAACATTTTTTTTCATTTTTTCCAAGCGGAACATGACACCCTGGTACTCATAACTGGTACACAGAGTGGCACAAGATCACGGTTGTGATTTTTTTCCCTTTACCAAATGGGCATCACCACCGAGTCATGACCGTTTCAGAGCAGCACAAGATCATTGTCATGCAAACGGCTCCCCTCTGCCTCATCAACCCATCCATCTACCATTACCATTACAATACCAGACCAGTTACACTGTCATCATGTTACAGCTTAACTACCAGGCTGATGGTTCTGCTGAATGTATAATGAATAGACAATGTATGCCAGTGGGCGGGTGACAGGGTTGGGATAATTAAGGTACATTCACAATGAAATTATCATACTAGATAGATCGATCCAACTCTGCTCGGACTCATGCTGAATGCAATCCGATTAATGGAATGATGTCTCCTCAAGCAGCTAGGCAGTGATCAACTTTGGTGTGTTCAGACGCACTCAAAAGGAAGTAAAAGAGCTTCCAGCAGCTGAGCACACTATAAAGTGTATCACCCTCTAGCTGCTTTAGGAGGCGTGTCATTCAGTTAATCTGATAGCACTCAGTGAGAGTCCCCCCCCCCTCCAGGTACGTCATGGGAGTTCACACTTGGTGATCACATGATAATGACAGGACAGCCCAATTACCAGTCCACATCAGGTGTAGATTTTAAGTGGACAAGTCCACAAGGCAAAAACTTGTGGATCTTCCTGAAGAACTTTCTCGTTCTGTCAGGTAATTTACTGTTTATATCATAAAAGGTTACTGTCTTTTACCTTTACACTCATCATGGGCTCTTTGTTCCTTTGCTGATGAAGATTTTGTGAAATATTATTCAAACTTATATAAGAACAAATTGACTTCACATATATAAAACATTTTTAGTATTTGTTATTTCACTTTTTTCTTTTTCTTTGTATATGAAGACACCCGTTTATTAGATTACCTTCATCATGGCATATTTCAAATGAAAGATGCTAAATATCAATTTTAACTGTGCAGGTTTTTTTTTTTTTTTTTTATCCATGCTACCACTTGCAAACCATGTATTCCACCTTCTGGAATAATACACTAGCAACCTCTGATTTTTACTTTGTTACAGTGTTTGTTAAAATTCACTGACATTCTACTCAACTCCTGAAGCACAATTTCACATTCATGTCAGGAAGCACCAGAACTATTTCAAAAGAACTAACAAGGGAAAACTCTCCCATTTCCACTGTTTCTTGGAAAAACATTTCTCCGCACCTTATCAATTTCAAAAATAATGAATTGCCGATTCTTTTGTGACAAATCTGGGACTAATATTCATGGAATACGTCCACCGCTCCAAACAAGTTATCTTATCTTCTAGGAAACTATTTCTTGGGGGGTAACTTTCCTGTACTTCCCGGCCAGGTGATCAATTTTCCAAGGAATATTTATTGGAAAAGCATCAAATCTGAAGAGTTTACAAGATTTCGAGATATGAGGGTCAGATCAGAGGGGTCCTTTGTTTCCAGTTACCACTCGACTTCCAGCAAGGAAAGTATTGTCCGATCTACAATTGCTGGGGAGATACCTTTCCTGAACTTCAGAAGCAGGTGATTGATTTTCTAAGAAGTATTGATTGTAAAAACATCAAATCTGAAGAGTTTACAGGAATCCGAGATATGGGGAGGGGGGGGGGGGTCAGATCAGAGAGGTCCTTAGCATCCAGTTACAAGTCATAATTCTGTAAAGAAAAGTGTTGTCTAAACTATTTTGGATAAGGTGTAAGTGGTATTTTTACTGATCTAACCAATAATTACCACTTCCACCGTAGATTTTGCCTCTGTTTAATTAATTAATTAATGGTTAATTATGTGTTAATTATTTGTCTTGGCAGAGGTCTGCACTTCGAGTGATTTTCTAGTTTGGAATGAAATTGTCATTAGACAACTCAGAAAATTTATTTGTTTATAAAAATACTGTTCCAACACACGTAGGAAGATGCTGGCAATTTTCAGTAGTGGGATGGTTGTTATTTCCCTTTATTCCTTTAGAAACCATATAAAATATAGTCAATATTGTATTTACAAATTAACATTATTTATAAGACACAGAAGGCTGTTTATGCCATAATATCATAACCTTGGGGCAAAAATGTTCAAAAACCACAGGAAAATTCTTAAATGCCATCTTGCTACATCGATTATCTCCTCATTACTGTGTCGTTCTATTTTAGCTGCCATATGACATCACGCCGAGCCTTTATCTTCCAATGAAAACATGTTTATTCCACGGCCACTGAGTCAATATCTCACCAATGCTGAGGAGCTGGTTATTAGCAGATCCTGTATATGTAGAATGTGCGGAATACCAGACCATGGCTTTCATCCCATGTGCCATTCCATGTACATATTATTATGATAACAATGATTTAATTTGCCAGAGGATTATCACACATTACTGGAACATTTAGTACCATTACGCACTAAAACAGCCAGAAATCTTTTTATTTCATCAATAATTTAATTAATTTCATTCAATACTTAATGCAGTGGTGTGATACGAAAACCCACATGTGACATCATCTTACATGTGAACAATTTCTTAATTTGTTGCAGCTATGAGCTTCATTCCCTATGGGCCAACTTCCTACTTCATAGTCAATTATTCTTCCCATCGAGCCACTTTTCACTTCAGCATATGATTTGATTTTAACATACACAGCAGAGCCATCCCCAGAGAAGCTCACAATACACCAGCCATAACCCCCTCGTTAATCTGACAGCCAGTTTTAATGGGTAAATTTCTAGTTTATTGGCCGTAAGTGGTTTTTGATGTAGTAATGCAGTATGGTTGAGTTCTATGGTTCACAAACAGAGTTCACGGCCAATGTCGCATCTGATCACATCTGCATGTAAATGTCTCACACAGAAGTATGAGAAATCACAGTGCAAAGTCATTAAATCAGAAATCGAAGTCACTAATGCTCTATTCTGAGTCACAAACGGTAGTTTTGTTTATTACGCCTGAATTTGCACAGAGGGGTGGGCGTGAGGTTTACGTGTAACATACCTGAAATAGGCCTGCATCCACACGCCAAAAACTGAAATGCAAAATTTTGACAGGAAACTTACCCAGACACTTGAATGGCCGCACTTTGTGTGAGCTGTGGTGCTTGCATGTCTTATGTCCCTTCTTACACCAGCCGTCAATGGTCACCTCGTCGCTGGCCTCCACTACGTTGGTGATGTCCAGTTTAGGGTATACCTAGAACATGAGAGGATGAAATGTTTAGATATACAAGCAAAATTGACAATTTTTTAAAAATTTTTCTTTCGGTCCTTTTTTGTTTTTTTTTTTTGAAAGGGCGTGTGTGTGTGTGTGTGTGTGTGTGTATGTGTGTGTGTGTGGGGGGGGGGGGGTTTACATCAAGTCAAGGCTTTCCCTAAAGATCTGTCCAGACGTCAGGCCAAGGGATCAGTAAAAATGTCAGAATATCCAATCAGGTCTCCAAATTTTTTCAAAATGAAGGTTTGTCTGTTTTACAAAGTTTTCATCATGTCTACAGCTAAATAATGACTTCTATTGATGGATTTCAGCTAAATGTTTTTCTCACTTTTTTCATTGATTATTTCAGCTAAGTGCCATACCAGGTATTCTGGGAATAAAGTAATATCAACTGTAATTTGACATTTATCAGAATAAGTCTGGGATAATACATCATCAGATGGTTATAAAATGATGACAGGCTAGAGAAAGAAGACAGAAAGGTGAAGGCAACTCTGAAAATCCATTTTTTAGCTTTAGACAGAGATGGTCATTTCAAAGGTTTATCTTTATCTAGTCCTTAGCCATTTCCTGCCTAAAACTAGTCAAGTCAATTTTGGACAAAAATTGGTATGATTGGAATAATAGGACAGCCAGTATGAGAAAAATAATTGTAGAATCCCTCTCATCTTGTTCGTCAGTGCAGGCAAAAAACCAACTAACAGTTTTAAATAACCCTAATATCCGTTCCACCAAAAGAAGGCAGAGAAGTACTTAACTATGATGACATCTAACGATGTACTTAACAACGATGTGACAAACAGACATCGCCTGCATTCCTGTTTTCAACACAAGACAGGAAGGAATCCACGTCACTTGCCAAGGATACACTCACGTAACTTATGTTAGAAAGTCCTTTAAGGCAAAGTTCCAGACATTCACAACCAATCCTTATTTTCAGCACAACCAAGCCTAATTTTCTGAGTGACCACATACCTGTACTGTATAACAATAAGGAAAGAAAACTTTGTCCTATCACATCAACACATCGCTTATTACTGAAACCAATTTAATCAAACGCATAACATATTTTATTTCAAAGTATGAAACTAAACTTTTGGAATTTTCTCCAACAGGCCTCAGTAATGGCAGCAGATCACGTCATCTGTGGCACGTCTACCTTAAGGACAGGAGTGATTTATAACCTATGCCCAAACCACACCTGAACAGGTTCATGGCTTCTTAAGTCTGTCTTCAATATGACATTTTTTTCATATAAAATTGTCTGAAGAAACAAAGTTTGATGTGCAGTGAAGTAAGAATGTAGCCAACCTTCCAGAAACGGTATTCTAGCTAAATAATTATTGTATCAGATTTTAAAAGCACTGAACCAAACTAACAAAAAAAATTTTCTGGGCTTCCATGTCAAGAGTGACATGCATTGGATCAAAGTAAATACCTACTTTGTAATTAGAGGCAGGGGCACACATAAATTTTGTTTTTGGGCACCCCCCACACTTCCGCAAGACTTTAAGTACATAAGACTCTATCCACAAACCACAGGTGTGCAAGAAAATAAGCCCACTTTAAACCTGTCATCCACTGCAATGTTCAGGTTCAGAGCACAAAGATCCCTACAAAGGCAGGCAAAATATAATGATAGGCATTAAAAGGGTAAAACCAGTTTCCACGATTAGGTACTGTTAAATACAGAGAGCAAGCCTGAACAGCCAAGTGACATCTGCAGCATTTTTCTGTCGAGATAATATTTCAGCAACACAAAACTGAGACCATCTCATAACTTTCTGAATAATCTATGTCATGCCTTAATGACCTTACGGAGTCTATCATTATGAGACATCTGGCGTCCCAGATAACAACTATCACTTGCTTCTGGCCCTTAACTGTACCACATTAATCTCTCTCTTGTGGAAAACGTTTCATTTCTACTAATTACTAGAAATGATAGGGCATATGCACTCAAACAATCATTTTGATTGGGTCCAATTTGATTTAGCCAAGTCAAATTTAATATTTGGCTAAACTGGTGGATAAAGTGCTACCCCAGCCTTATGCATATCATTTTAAGGGTACTGACCAGACTAACTGCCTTTTCCGCATGATTTTACTGGTGTTTGCACATAAAAATACATTAGCATGACTGTGCTGAATATTAGTGGATTGTTGGTAATGATCATAATGGCTTTAAGTGAATGGGAAGGAAGTAATATGATAGTTCAAATGTAGTGGCTACTTAGCACACTTCTTTTTCTGTCTCTATTTTCCATAGGCAACAAAACACAATCCTTTAAATAGAGCATCTCTCTACTACCTCACCCTATAACACAATGAAGACACATTTAGAACAGCATACAGAAATGACGTAAAATACCAATTCTTAAGCAAAAGCCTCCACTTTAAAACTCTTAATTAAAACTGTAGTACTAGTGTACCACAATGGATTATTTCACTGTGTGTTCAGAACGCCACACACCATGCTAGTCAGGCTAAAAGACACTTCTAATCAACTTGAACAATAAAGGCCAGCAAATTGGTTATTGATTTCCAGACCAATTTACTGCATCGTTCGGATTCTATTTCCGCCTCTTGTGCATTTCCACTCAGATATTACCAGACCGTAAAGTGTGGAAAAGTAAATTCAATTGACAACCTTTGTGATTCAATTTCAAATTTTGTAAATGTCGGCCCAAAATTATCATAATCAAACCTATGAACACTCACACACTGTTACAGTGAGATGCCAAAGGGACATTATGGCACCAAAAACAACCAAAAAGTATCAAAACTATTTTGTAAATCTCTTTGGAAAATTGCCAAAAGTTGCTTTAAGGATTTACAGTAGATACAAGCCCCTGATCAAATAGTAGCTGAATATGTGTAGAGAAGGAAAGCGGAGTCTATTGATTATCATTAAAAGATATGATGAAGACTTTTTCTGTCCAGCTGAGCAGCTTCTTTGTTCAAATTCTAATCATATTGACCAAAATGTATTCTTCATGGAAAATATATTCAACACTTTTAGGATGAACAAGGCTTGCAAATGCACAAGAGATTTTATAACAAGCAAATGGTTCTTGTTTATCTTTTTAATGCTGATTGTCATTTTTACGGATTATCAGAAAATAAAACAGACATCAGAAACTCTGCGATCCTTTTAATGAGCTCTTAATAATAATAAAAACCTCCTTCTTAAATTGCACTGAATCTCACAAAATTTCAGTAACAAGCTTTGCTAACTGTGCACAGCAAATTGACCAATTGTTCTGTCTGTTCTCATTAGCTTTCATTATTAGCTATCATTCTGCACTGCTTGAACTCTGCGATCCATGCAAATTTCTTAGTCAGCCATTGCAAGAAGTGCCTTTGTATCACGAAACTACCTCAATCACCATAATATCTTTCTAAGTGTCAAATTGAGATGTTTTTACTTATGGCTAAAAAACCAAGATTTTGGTTAAGAATATGAAAAAAATATTTTTTAGAGAGAGAGAACTAAACTTCGCAAACAGTATCAAAAAGCACTTTTCACAGAATGATGCATTTCCCTATAAAACAGCCACAAAATTGAAAGACAACGTGTTAAAACACACAGTATCACATGAATTTATCGATTTCTGCCAGAGCTCCAAGCAGCATGCCGAATTGACTCCAGATAAAATGGGATCTCACATAACGTGTTAAGGTCCTCCGGCAATAAACTGCTAGTGAAACGAAACGAGAGCATTGCACCAGAGGAAGTCCACAGGGAGGCTTATTATGGTCCAATGTTTGACAGCAAACCAATCTTCTTTTCAAAATTCATCTTTGCATGTTTTCTACAGTTCACTACATAACATTCAGGACCAGATTTGTTCGAAATGTTGAAAACATGGACGACAAATAACATTAACCCTTGTCCTTTCAGCGTCAACTTCAAATAATTCTTTTTCTTTTTACACTAAAAGACTTTTCCAAGTGATATTCACCATATAAATGCCTGTTTTTTTTAAGCAGCTGGCTTATTTACCAAGATCCTAGATTTATTCTAAAGCTGAGAGATTATAGTGGGCGTGGATGAGCAAAATGAAGGAAACAGCCAGGTTTCTTTAATTCATAGTGATGATTTCTGAAGAAAGCTTTTGGAATTAGTAGAAAGGTAAACGTAGCAGCTGCTTCGAGACCCTGGGTTTATCCTCCCCCACCCCCTTTTTTTTTGACAATGATTGAAATAACTCAAACAAAAATATAAAATATTCGTTTTAACGTCAAAAATTATGCATTTCTTCGCAAGTAAACTGCTCACTAATCTTCCATGCACAGCTCTTCTTCGGGACTGCAAACAGTTTACAAAAATTCAAATTTCAAGCAAGTTAAATCTTTAAAACTGAACCTTTTTTCAATCTCTTAAAAACACCCCTTTATTTTTTAGTCACCAATCGTAACCTTTTTTTCACAGCCAGATTTCAAAACGGAAACACTAGCATTCACTCGCCACACACAACTCACACACACCAGTTGTAATCCAATCTTTAAATCTCCTGTTGGGAAACTAGTACACTCAAATGACAACAGAGACTACCATTATGGAGGTTTTCCTGCATGTTTACATTCAACAAGCACAGGGAGGTGTTGCTGTCCAGATATTGATCACTCCATTTCGGATCAATATTCAGTTTTGCACACTTACATCATATATATACGGTTGGCTGATAAACGTTATAAAAGTGGTGTATGCTGCTAAAAAAAATTGAATTAATGATTTATCGTTATGATGACACATTTATGTCTGTCCATAAAAAGAAAAATATGTTATAAAATCCTACTTTGTTTAATTATTTAGACTTGGTTTTAATCATTTCAACTGAAAGAAAAAGGAGAGAAATGAGAACAGATTTAATAGAGGCACAGTCTAGACAGTTAGCAAAAAGCTACAGTAAAGGAGCAGCGTTTTCTCAAGTGAAAGTGGAAGGGGTACTGAACTTGAAATTCTAGAATCAGAC